GCTTTCATTGAGCTGCAAGAAATGTGGTATTCATGTCTCTGAAATCTGAGCCGGCTCTTTTCAGCACAGTCAGCTTTATTTGATGAAAAACTTCAGTATTGTCAAGACATGAATGAAAAAATTGAATGGGCTCATTGTTAGGTTCTGGTATAGTTGACGGTGTTTGCTCTGAATTCATATTTTTTCCTTTTTTTTGCAGGAAAGACTGGATAATGTTCTTTTTTACCATAGTATTACTTTTCGGTAAGATCTCATTGTTTACTTAAATCATGTTGATTTTTTACAGGATTTTTCCTCATATTTGCATGTTTTTTTTCCCTCAAACTATGAATTAATTTCTCCTTTGAGTGAGCTTCTCATTATTGTTCACCGCACATTTCATTCATAAGTAGGTGTTTTTAATGTTTTTTTGTTGAATATGTGGTGATGTCTTTATGTCATGCTTTGATAGGCTTGGCCTCAGCCCAGAAAATAATCCAGTTAACCTACTGCTCGTTAGATGAGCACAACCTCAGGATGGACTGCAAATATGCGCTTCCCGCTGAGTCACCAGAACCGTTCTGCAAGTATACCAACGGTGAGAGGCTCTTTGACACCACGGACCCAGAGGAGGAGCAGCATGCCCCCTTCAGGAAACGCGCCAAAGTCCGCATCTTTCCAGGCAACAACTGTCGCCTGCTGTTCAAAACCCTGCCCCCTGGCAAGTCCAACTTCACGTGCAACATCAAATACGCTAACTCCGTCACAGCAACCAAAACCTCAGTGGTTGAGAAAAGTAAGCTTGTGTCAGTTTTGTTTTATTGTACACACAATATATATATTTGATTGACTGCCAACCAGAACCCCCCCCCCCTCCGCTCCTTCTGAACCTGCATTATTGTTCTTATTGCAGAGCTCCTCCTCCCCTGCTCAGCGTGGAGTGTCCTGTTACAGAGCTGCAGTGGCCTACTGCTGACCTTGATGACACTTCCAGTGCTGCTGGAAATTCACTGGCTGTGAATGAGGCGCCAAATTGCTGCATACGTTAACATTGCACCCATAATTACCTGGCGACTGCTGTTGGGATGCTCCTGAAGTTGTGTGTATGCACAAAGTGCAACGAGATGAACTGAATGTCCGTATACAGTATTAATCTGGTATGTCACAGGCCTGCTTACTCTGCATATGTCTGCACTCAATACTAAGCACATGTACCTATGCATATACTTTATACTCTACAATACTCTCACATATAAAACAGCTGTCTGATTGTACGGTAGAAAATCTGTTGGATCCACGTTGGTTTCTGGCAGATGTGCCCGACAGTGACGAGTAAAACGCATGAATGTGACTTTACAGGTATAACTAAAGATCTATATTCTGTTATAGTCAATATTTACACTCAGTATTTTGTGTGATTGTAGTCATGATATTGAGCTTTAACCTCACGTCTTAATAACGAAGTATAGGTCGAGGAAATATGAATGAAGGTGGTGAATAAATCTGATTTTTATAGAGGGATGAAAACCGTCTGGAGATTTGAAAGTATCCTGCTCAAAAAGTGATGTAATGTTGTACACCGCAAAGCCACTTTAATGCTGAGTTTCATCACTCTTTAGAGCAGGCAATCTATTTTGCCTGACTTAAATGTGTCCCCTGTGTCTCTTCTTGGCTGCCAAATGAGGAGGGCAGCTAGAGGAGACCTTGTGTCTCACAGGTCCGCCAGTGGAAGATTGTGTTGTATCTGTCGATACCAACCTGGAAGGGGATGAGAGATAGCTCTGGCAAAGAGTCCTCTAATGTAAGGCAGAGAACTGAACACTTTTAAACAGGTTCTTGACTATTTGATGCATGAGCAATAAAGTCTGTATTCTATTTTACTCTATTGTGACAAGACAATGTATTAAGTTCCTCAACTACTGTAACAAAGAGAACCCAAAGTTTTTATTTTGCCTTTCACTTGTGCCTGAGACACATGATCCATGTTCAGCTGAGGCTTGTTGTCATGAATACACAGTTTGTCTCTGAACGCTGTAAACTAAGTCAGATTCACACTGATGGCTCTGTTTATAGATTAACACTGAATATGCTTTTTATGATGCACTGATTTCTCTGGTAATAATGTAAAGGATTTTTACTTGTGTATATAGTTGAGTAGGTGGTGTGTAGCTAAAGCACAATCATTTAATTGCACTGAAAAGCACTGCTGTACTATGTACTGTATAATGACAATAAACTGAACTGAAACTTAATCATGTCAATGAAGAACAGTCATCCATTATCAACGCTGCTTTTTACTGTTTGGGTTTGCGGGGGGGGGGGGGGCTGGAGCCGATCCCAGCTGTCTTTGGACGAGAAGTGGGGATACACCCTGGACTGGTTGCCAGCCAATCACAAGGCAGACAGACACACTCACATTCACACCTAAGACTAACCCCATGCATGCAACGGGGAGAACATGCAAACTCCACACAGAAACAGCCGGCCCAACAGGGATTCGAACCAGGAACCGTCTCACTGTGAGGAAACAGCACTAACCACTGACCCACCATGCAGCCACTCGATGGAGAACAGTGCATATCAATTGAAACAGAACATTTAGTTAAATATGTTTATGTGTGTATGCATGCTTTTAACTCTTGTGACTATAAATGCATGATATGGAAAGTGCTTTGAATGTCCAGCAGAGGGCAGCATTGCATCAAAGTAGATTGTCCTTTAAAACTTCATGAAGACATAAAGGAAATGACTGCAAGGACCACAATCATCAGAAACTTTGAGACAATTTTACTGCACAGACAGGTTAATAATTTGTTCTCTTGTTTCTTTTAATATCCTAAAAACAATTCAACATGATGGTCATCGTTAGGTTGGGGTTGTCTCTGCTGTAGAAGTTTAATGATGAAATCATGAAACAGACTGTGGCCATGGTCAGACAACACAGCAACAGAACACACATGGCTGACAAATTGCTGACCAAGTATTCATCTTCACAGCGTTGTTTATATTCTGTTAGAAGGTACAGCCTACAAATTCTTTTCCATTTGGGTGCATCTCTAATAGGCTAGAAAGAAGACATTAGCTTGACATGTGACTGTCAGACATGCATCTTATCTTACAGTCTTATTGAATCACATTTCCTTTTCAGCTCACAACATACACTTGGCTCCAATCCAAATATAACTCTGCTGCTGTGAGGTCTCTTACAGATATGTATTACTGCTACACAATCCTTAAAGAAGAATTCACCTAAGATGGTTGAACACAATTAAATGATATATCCACAAAATTACCAAGATGAATGAATTCATGAAAGTTCTTACTAACCGCCATCATAAATGAAAACTGTAATGCCACCACCACTCCTCAGCATAATGGTATTTACCTGCAGAGATAAAGTTGTGTTCATGTGCACACATTTTTAATGTAGAATTTGGGTGTTTGAGTGGAAAAACAATGCTGCTGTTGTTTGCAGAAGAAGTAAGAGGTTGATAAAAAAAGTGGAGGGATGCTTCAATTTAATTTGTCTTTTCTCCTTTCCCGCATGTCATTCCCAACTCTCTCTCTCACTGATTTCCAACTCTATCCACTGTGCTATCTCCAATAAAGGCATGGGCGGTTCTAGGCAGGGGCCAACAGGGGCCAGTGCGCCTGTAACACCGAGCTTGGTCCCCCCTGTGGCCACCCCTCCAAAAGGAGTGAACATAAACAGTATTTGACTCAACAAACGGACTGACAATCTAGTATTAAATACTGTTACTGAAACAAATATAAATCATGGTATTTTATGTTGTGGTATTTAATGATGTGCGCTATTTTTGGCATAATATATATATATTTTTTAAAGCAATCATCTTTGTCTATTTTTCACTGGGTTTAATGTTCGCCGCTGACTAAACAACTGGCCCCAGTTTGGCCCCCTCAGTAAATGTGGTCTAGAACCGCCACTGAATAAAGGCACAAAAAGCCAAAAAACAACGACATTGTGGAAGCTGAGTGCTAATATTTAATTCCCCCAATGTTCAAACACGCTGACTACTCCTTTAGGTTGGCTCATTTATAGGTAACAAATTAAATGTGCACTGCTGGTTTCATTTTAGGCAACAAGTACCGTATTCTTTAAAGTCATTTATCACACAGTAGTGTAGAAGTGTCATACAGATGAAAATGTGACACGTTTGATCTTTGTAGTGGCATAGTTTATGTTTTCATTCATTCATTAATACTGTCTGTATGCAGCGTACTCTGGGGCATTATTCAAAGACAAAACATTAGCTTAACTAATTCAGCAGTCACATTTCAACATGCATATTTTATCTGATATGCTCCCTCCATGTTTAAACATAAACTGAGAGCAACATGCTCAGTTAAAGGGACTACATGTGCAGAGATGTTATTATTATTATTTACAGAATAATAATGAGTTAAAATTCCAGAGACAAAAAAAATAATTCTAGAGACGAGGTTAAATCAATACAATCTTAACTTTTGTTGGAAGATCCACTTTATATTTCTCCTCAGAGGAAGATGTGACAGAGCTGGTGCGTTCACTGTTCCTTCTAACTCCTGGTCAGTCATTTTGGATGTAACGTCCTTCCTTTTCATACATCCCAATAAAGGGAGGATCTTAAACACTAATATTTTGAACAAGCTCAATGTCTTATCAGTAATGGCCTGACAAATAATAATTAAATAGACATTTTTATGTTTATGTTTTGTAGATTAGATAATAATGTTTGAATAATTTAGGATTTGTAAATGCTCATATCCATGAACAAGGTTGTTGCTTTTCTCATGGGGCCCCATAAAGCCACCATCATGGCGAATGCCTTCCATGAATGAAGATGAAACTGAAAGACAGAACTAAATTCCCAAAGGCAGAGTGTGGTTATACCCTCCAATGAGAGAGAGGTCAGTAACCCCAGCTGTTCTGTGTCTGTTTAGCTTATTGGCTGGTTAATAAACTACCAACACTCTTGTACCCACCTCCTCCTGTTTTCTTTGAATGTAACTCGTGATGTAAATGCGCTTCCTTTCTCACCGTCGAACCTGTTTTTCCACTCTGTCGTCACTCAGGCACCTGAGAGGATCTTAATACCGGAAGTTACCGAGCTTGTTATCACCTGGGCGGACACTTTCAGGTGAGGGCACTCAATCGTTACAGAGAGAAACAACGACACAGTTTTTTTTTTTTTTTTTTTTAAAAAGAGTTGGAAATATAATCGACTGTCTGTTTACTCGACGCCAGACACATTTTGTGTGGTTTTTGGTTCATTTGAGGTGAAGCAGTGAGAAGAGAAGAACCGAGCGGGTCGACATGTTTGTCAGCGGGCTGGTTTCGGTGGCTTTGTTCCTCCTCGCAGCGACAGGTGAGTAACTGAAGCATTACCGTTTATTTGATTTAAAGAGCGCGATAGTTTCACCTTTTTGTGAGATTCAACCAAAACAACAATGCAATAAGCTTCTTGTCCACCAAATTCAAAACTAGCATTTATGTCGTTGCTGTATTTATCCTTAAATATAAACCTCGGGCCTTGACACTACACTGGGCCTGTTCTGTAGGCTTTCTGTGTGAGTTCAGCAAGTTTGTCACAAGGAAACATTAACATGGTTCTATTTCGAAGTCAGCCAGTTGCAGAATATTTGAAACTTTTTAATTTACCTTAAGTTTGTTTTTTTTATTTTTTATTAATTAAACTACAGTCGCACAGCAGGTGTAAGAAGCTGCTGTGAAACAAGGAACCATTAAAATGTGGAACATGTGGAGAAAAAATATGTTACCTCCTTCTATTGTGTTAAATTAATTAAAATGCCTGCACCTGTAATAACCTTTAAAATATAATAGTATTATAGAGTAATGTTAACATAATTATAAATGTTTTTTTTTGTGCAATTTCTGAGCGTTAATTCAGAAAGTAACATTCAGTATGAAGGAAGCAATCCCACTTTCTTCTGGCTTTCCATGAACTGATCAACGCAGTCGGCCTTTGGGTGTCACAGTAACAGAAAAATAGAATTCCTATGTACCCAAAAATGGGTCATTTCTTGATTACAGATATAAAAATCTTCAAGTGTACACAAGTTACGCAAAGTTTCGTAAATTGTACACATTTGTTTGATAGAATAGAATTACTTTATTGATCCCAAACTGGGAAATTGTGGTGTTACTGCAGCAGGTTATCTAACACACAATATGAGTAAAAAACACAATGTTAGCAAATCTAAACATAATATAATATTAAATACAAAGTAAATAAGTACTAAAAATATCCAAACTAAGAATGTGAATATATACAACCAGGATGTGCAAAAACAGAGTCGTAAATGGTTGTAAATTAAATATGAAAGACTAAATTGATTGATGCACCTCTCCTGATGCACCTTTCATATGAAATGGATACATTTTTTAGAGCCCTCATACTTTTCCATACTATCAATCATTAAAATAATCAAGATAGTTGACCCTATTCAAACACCTGGTGTAAAAAGTTTCATGTTATGGATAATTCTGACGGCAGTTTAGTGCAGCTTTTATTTATTTTTTGTCTGTATTACAATAACATCCATATTTAATGAATTCCAAGAGTTCACAAACTCATCAGCCAATCTTTGTGTCATTGAGATTTTTGACTGTAAACTTGCAGCATCAAATATGACCCTGTATAACTGGTACCAATGAACCCCATAAACATTGTGAAACCTGCAGTGTAATCCCTCACTTATCTCTTCTTGGTGGCAAAAAGCCCAGTTTGGGGCTTTGTCTGTAAGGCTACATAGCAGAGTACTTCAACTGGTTTTGTTTTGATAAAGTGAAAATTCCTTCTGCTGCACATCAGACTGGTCTCTCTGCCTCAAGTCTCATCCGCACACCTGCAGCCCAGTCTGCTGTGTGGAGGAGACAATGTAAACAGCTGCCCACAGGCAGACCTCTTTAGACTTGTTGCACTAAAACACAGACATGCAGCAAGCCGAGTTTCCCGAGCACCCTGAGCCCTAGACATTCACCCTTCTTTACCTCGGGAGACGTGTGTCATTACGTCAACCCAGAAACTCGCAGAGTATGCAAACAAAGAAGTCATGCAGAGCTCTGGTTTCATTTTACACCGGCGGCTTATCTCACCAAACCAAAACTGTGACTGTGCTGCTTTATCTCCTCTGAGAAACAACTGCAGCGTGTAGAAGAATGTCATTCAAGTGTTGCTGTTTGTAAACTTGAATTCAAATATAAAGTAGGCTACTAAAATGGCACATATATTTCATTTAATGAGCTTGCTTTAGAGTTGCTTTGCTGCTTTTCTCTGCAGAGGACGTTTCTCTGAATGTCATAGGAGGACTACCAGACAAGCTAATGGTTAAGTCCTTATACACCCAACAATTAAAATAATAGCAGTCTGGTAACGTTGCATTCAAAGGATGTAACTGTGATGTGTCAGTCAGGTCAGTGACTCCATAATGGATTAGTCGTGTGTGTGTGTGTGTGTGTGTGTGTGTGTCTGTTCCGGGTTTCTGCCTCAACATGGCAGTTTCACCTGAAGTTTTCTGACTCAGCAGTCAGGAATGAGACACGATTTATTGTTTGTCCGCAGCCTGAAGGCTTGTGCACATGCTCAGAGAGTTTGACAAGTTGTGTTTTCTTTTATCTGATGATTTTTACATGAATAATAATTCAAAATAATTTCAAGAAGTTTTTTTTCCCACCAAAACAAAAGTGCAGATCTGAGTGGAGCTTCTAGTGGAGCTGGGTATTGTCTACAACCTCACAATTCAATTCTATTTCAATTCTTTGGGTAACGATTCGATTGGATATTGATCAATATGCTTCAATATTGATTGAATAATACATACAGATGACAGGAATACTCAGATAACTCATCACAGTGCCTTCTGATATTTGTTAAATAATTATGTGTGCATGGTTTGTATATGTTTAGAACACATTGACTCCAAAATCAATTTTATCGTTGCATTATTCTTTAATACACAAAGAATAAAACATTTAAGTACAGTATGATGTAAAGTGCACATTTGTGCCTGATCTGGATTCACAGCATTCACAGTGCCCCCAGTGGAGAGGGGTGTCATTACAACAAAAAAAAATCTCAGTCTATTGAATTGTGAAAATAATAATTGCACTTCATTATGAATCAATATTTTGAACCAGCCCTAGTTTATAGCTAGCTTAAGCATATTCTGACTGCATGGTATAAAAGTGTGTTCATTATACACAGGACTTCATCTGACAGGTGTAATTTACACATGGTGAGTGAGATAACATAACTTCTCTACATCAAATCTTGATTTCAGATGGTGGTTTTCACGACTTATTTCTCTTTGACTTCATTATATTTAATAAAACATGAAATACCAGTAATCATAACATGTAACTGCGCTGTGTGCTTTGGACTGGTGTAACCACGGATTTCACTTTAGTCCAGACTGAATGCAAAAGCAGAAGTGAAAAGTGCTGAGTCTTAAATTCTCAGTTCCTTTTAGTGTCTGATGTTTAAATCTTTAGAGGTAGTATTATATCCTAATAATCTAGAACAAAGACTGAATCAGTAAAGAACCGATCTTTTGAATCTGTTCAATAATTCATGCTTTCCCATCCCTCCTGTACAAAATGTTTATATTATTTCCATTTTTTTCCCTCCTCTACTATTTATCTTAAGTTTTCTGTATCGTCTGTTCATCAGTAGAAAGTATCGGCTGTGTTTATAGCCACAGCATGCTGTTAAATTGTCTAATTGATTGTTGTATTATATTCTGTGTGTCCAGGTGTGAGGGGCTTCACAGTCACTACCAACAAAGCCGATGTGCGGGTGAAAGAGAATTTAGGTGAGTCCCAACTATAATAAATAATGTAAATGAAAAAAAAAATGAATACATCAATATTTCATCAGTTGAGTGTTTGCTGAACAGTTGAAAAAAAGATTCCACATTTTTTTAAATAGAAGGTATCAAGTACGACAAAGCTGGAACTAGCTTTGGTAAAGTGGTCTGTAGTTGCTTTACGTTTCAATTAGTGTAAGGATGAACCATATCAATATGTTCTAATGTTTAATAAGGTCAGTGTGTTACCTTTCATGCACGGCTGTTTTCTTCTGATTTGAATTACATTGGGTGTCTCTCGAGTCGATTTCGATTCTTGGGGCCACGATTTGATTCAGAATCGATTTTCAATTCAAAATGATTCTGGATTCAATTTGAATTCACGAGTGAGAGAAGTGTGCTGGATTTTTTCTCCCTAATGTGATAGTTTGATGTCCTACTTCATGTGATAGTTGGATGTGCGAACACCTCCTCTAAAAGTTAATGAGTTATAGAATACTATTCTTTGTTATTTCTTAAATGTAAATGGACGTCTTCACTGTATCGATGTAAGTGGAAAATAATAAGATGGCAAGCAGAGAATAAAGGTCATCATCACCCCTTCCCACTCACTCGCAGTAAATGTTCCTGAAATGTGTCTGCTGTGTTTACACATCAGCTCACTTCAACTTCACATTAGGGAGCTGGCAGGAAAAAGTCTGGATAAAGTTTGGCTGAAATTTTGCCGTTTGTGTTCACGCACGCAGCTCTAAAGATTTGTGCTGCGTCGTAATCCTGCTCATAATCTGTTATCAAGTCAGTGATGGTGAGTAATGCTCTAAGACGGAACAGGCATTACTAAATGTGTATGACCTAGAGTAGGCAAATTTACAGGAAAACTGGGTCCTGACTGAGGGAAACTTTCTTGACACTTCATGTTGTCAAGGTTATCTGTGAATCTCTTTATTTCTTATCATTAGGAGTGAATGTCTGTGATTTTAACTCTTGGAGCAGAGTTTAGTTACGGCTTATTTCAGTCTAAAACATTGTACTGCAAATTAAAAGTGAAGTAAATATCCCAATAGTTATGTTTCTTTTTGTATTGATTTACATTTTTTGACATTTCAGGGATCGACCTTTCATGCACCTTTTCTGGTGACTTTGGTTCAAATCCCAGAGTGGAGTGGAAGTTTAAAAACCTGAAGCAGTCACAGGTGTACGTGATTTTTGATGGGAAACCAACAAGTACGTAGATTTCTAATCTTTGTGTCCCTGTCTCTTCAGTGTGTGTGTGTCTCTTCAGTGTGTTGTGTGTGTGTCTCTTCAGTGTGTTGTGTGTGTGTGTCTCTTCAGTGTGTGTGTGTGTCTCTTCAGTGTGTTGTGTGTCTCTTCAGTGTGTGTGTCTCTTCAGTGTGTTGTGTGTCTCTTCAGTGTGTGTGTGTGTCTCTTCAGTGTGTTGTGTGTCTCTTCAGTGTGTTGTGTGTCTCTTCAGTGTGTTGTGTGTGTCTCTTCAGTGTGTTGTGTGTCTCTTCAGTGTGTGTGTGTCTCTTTAGTGTGTGTGTGTGTGTGTGTGTCTCTTCAGTGTGTGTGTGTGTGTCTCTTCAGTGTGTTGTGTGTCTCTTCAGTGTGTGTGTGTCTCTTCAGTGTGTGTGTGTCTCTTCAGTGTGTGTGTGTCTCTTTAGTGTGTGTGTGTCTCTTCAGTGTGTGTGTGTGTGTCTCTTCAGTGTGTTGTGTGTCTCTTCAGTGTGTGTGTGTCTCTTCAGTGTGTTGTGTGTGTCTCTTCAGTGTGTTGTGTGTGTCTCTTCAGTGTGTTGTGTGTCTCTTCAGTGTGTTGTGTGTGTGTCTCTTCAGTGTGTTGTGCGTGTGTCTCTTCAGTGTGTTGTGTGTCTCTTCAGTGTGTTGTGTGTGTGTCTCTTCAGTGTGTTGTGTGTGTGTGTCTCTTCAGTGTGTTGTGTGTCTCTTTCAGTGTGTGTGTGTGTGTCTCTTCAGTGTGTTGTGTGTCTCTTTCAGTGTGTGTGTGTGTCTCTTCAGTGTGTTGTGTGTGTGTGTGTCTCTTCAGTGTGTTGTGTGTCTCTTCAGTGTGTTGTGTGTGTGTGTCTCTTCAGTGTGTTGTGTGTGTCTCTTCAGTGTGTTGTGTGTCTCTTCAGTGTGTTGTGTGTGTGTCTCTTCAGTGTGTTGTGTGTGTGTGTCTCTTCAGTGTATTGTGTGTCTCTTTCAGTGTGTTGTGTGTGTCTCTTCAGTGTGTTGTGTGTCTCTTCAGTGTGTTGTGTGTCTCTTCAGTGTGTTGTGTGTGTCTCTTCAGTGTGTTGTGTGTGTCTCTTCAGTGTGTGTGTGTCTCTTCAGTGTGTTGTGTGTGTGTGTCTCTTCAGTGTGTTGTGTGTGTGTGTCTCTTCAGTGTGTTGTGTCTCTTCAGTGTGTTGTGTGTGTCTCTTCAGTGTGTGTGTGTCTCTTCAGTGTGTTGTGTGTGTCTCTTCAGTGTGTGTGTCTCTTCAGTGTGTTGTGTGTCTCTTCAGTGTGTTGTGTCTCTTCAGTGTGTTGTGTGTGTGTGTCTCTTCAGTGTGTTGTGTCTCTTCAGTGTGTTATGTGTCTCTTCAGTGTGTGTGTCTCTTTAGTGTGTGTGTGTCTCTTCAGTGTGTTATGTGTCTCTTCAGTGTGTGTGTCTCTTTAGTGTGTGTGTGTCTCTTCAGTGTGTTATGTGTCTCTTCAGTGTGTTGTGTGTCTCTTTCAGTGTGTGTGTGTGTCTCTTCAGTGTGTTGTGTGTTGTGTCTCTTCAGTGTGTTGTGTCTCTTCAGTGTGTTGTGTGTCTCTTTAGTGTGTGTGTGTCTCTTTCAGTGTGTTGTGTGTTGTGTGTCTCTTTCAGTGTGTTGTGTGTCTCTTTCAGTGTGTTGTGTGTTGTGTGTCTCTTCAGTGTGTTGTGTCTCTTCAGTGTGTTGTGTGTTGTGTGTCTCTTCAGTGTGTTGTGTGTCTCTTTCAGTGTGTTGTGTGTTGTGTGTCTCTTCAGTGTGTTGTGTCTCTTCAGTGTGTTGTGTGTCTCTTCAGTGTGTTGTGTCTCTTCAGTGTGTTGTGTGTCTCTTCAGTGTGTTGTGTGTCTCTTCAGTGTGTGTGTGTGTCTCTTCAGTGTGTGTGTGTGTCTCTTCAGTGTGTTGTGTGTCTCTTTCAGACTTGAAGGCAGGGACAATTTAAAATGTCCTCTTAGTCCCTTTAAGAGGATTCCTTGTCACTGTTTGTTTCTGATGCAGAGTGAAAGTCTTCATCACCTTCAGCCTATGGAGAAATGTGTTGTCTGAATGCTTTTGTGACTGTTGTGTAATGCTGCAATTCTTCCTCAGCATCATATGCCAGCAGAGTGACAATGTACAACAGCAATCTGAGATTTGCAACTGTGACCCGCGATGACAACGGGATGTATGATTGTGAGGTGTCTGGAAACGGACAGTTTGGGGAAGCCAGAGTGAAGCTGACTGTACTTGGTAAGTAGTAGAACTATTACAGTAAATCTGTCCCTGCCAAATAAACCAATTTAAGTACAGTAATGAAGGACGTGACCCTCTTAAAAACTTTTCTCTTTTTTGTCCTTTCAGTGCCTCCCTCTGCACCCTTGTGTAGAATCCCCTCCTCAGTGACGACTGGCAAGTCAGCCCTCTTGACCTGCCATGACACGGATGGCTCACCTCCACCCAAATACAGGTGGTTCAAAAACGATGTGCCTCTGCCCGCTGAACCCGGCAAGATCGCAAGCTTCAAAAACTCCACCTACAAGCTCAATGTTAACAACGGCAACCTGGTCAGCTCCAAGCGTTTACTTTGCATCATCTTCACTATGACACTTTATGTGCTCTTTAAATGAAAAATGAAACCTGTCTGTCTCCTCAGGAGTTTCCCAAAACCGTCAAGACGGACTTAGGTCAGTACTACTGTGAGGCTTCCAACGAAGCAGGTCCTCCTCAGCGCTGCAGAGGAGGAAATATGGAAATCCGTAAGTACTCTTTTTTTTTTTGGATTAAAAACTGGCTTTAGGGTCTGCTTTTTTTTTTTTTTAAACAATCTGTCATTCATATGTGTATTCCTGCAATGACCATTTGCAAAACTACATTTAGTTTATAGAAACTATACATGCATATAAATACAAGTTTGATTTGGCAACTTAAACATGTCTCCCACGCCAATAAAACCCCTTTGAAATTGAATGACACAAATTCATCATCAGTTAGTTACTTATGAAAGAAAAGGGTTATTGTTAAACCTGTATATGCTGCACACAGACTTTTTAAAGCACTGTAAACTGGTTTGGCCGCATCAAAGTATCATCATCGTCATCATTTTTAATTGATGTAGATTATCAAATTAACCACACAATAATATTAGACTGTTCTTCATCTAATGAACTATAACGTGATGTTTTTCTGAAGGTGACCTCAACACTGGAGGAATTGTAGCTGGTGTGATCGTGGCTCTGCTGCTAGTGGCTCTGCTGGTTTTTGGTATTTGGTACGCAAACAAGAAAGGATACCTGCCAAGTGAGTAATACACATACAAGTCATACAGTGATTGTCTATATTTTTAAATCAAGTGTTGAAGTTATCAGGATCGTTTAATCTCAAAGTATTTTTTATTTTTTTTAAAGGAATTCAAATGAACTGAAAGAATTAGCCTTCATCTTAAGTAGCACATAGCTAGGATCCAGACATTACCGAGAGATTGTTACCTCGTTTAAAACACATTTCCAAGACAAAAATCATGGATAATCTATGTCCTGGTTATAGGTGTGTTAAAATCTCAGTGTCTACAAGCTGCAGTGATTTAAAGCTGAGTCCAGTCCCAAGCCTTTTATTAACATCAATGGCTGATGTACATAAAAAGATCAAAGCCGTGAAATCAAAGAATCTAAACCGAAATATGTAAAGATGCTTAACATTGTAAAAGCTGTGATAACTGACTGATAATTCCTAGAAAAAAAAAAAACAGGATCAGGAGTACAAAATATGTTAAGTCAATTTGAGTATCCCAACGATATTTTCCAAATCTTAAAATCAACAAAAACAAATTATACATTGGATAACGTAACAATTGAATAATTTCTGATGGATAGTTTAAAGGAGATATATTATGCTGATCCATGATGATGCAATGTTGGATGTTCATTTTAAACCATGGCAAAGTTTTTTTTAAACGCAAGGTACACAGTTGTTGGCCTCATCGTCTGACGTGGTTTCCTGCTGCTCTGAACCAGACAATACGAGAACTTTGCGAGACTTGGCCTAGAAGCTGACGTCAGGTTCTGCTGACGTTTTGGAGCAAAGCGTGGAGCAAAGTTGTAGAACACACCCACCCTGATTGCTATTTTCAAGGCCACGGCGACTCGGAAGCTCACTCAAATTTCCCTGCGACTGCAAACAGAGCTGGCCAATCAAGTGTGGGAATGTGGGGAGGGCGGGGCCTTAAAGAGACAGCAGCTGAAATTAACTGTTTTAGGCGGAGGCTGAAATGAGGGATTTTATTGATGTCAGTATCAGATCAACGTCACTTAGGACTACATAAGCTTTAACTTTTATTCTTAAATAATCCCCCAGCATTTAACTCAACATTCTGGCAGAAGTATAACCCGAATAAGTAAATCAATAAGTGGTTTTCCCATATAAAAATAATTCAATATTACTAACCAGTTCCTAAGTTTCTACCAAAAATCCAGTCTGTTGCGTATCATTTGCACATCTGTGTATGCTCTACCCCACTGATGTTCTTTCTTCTCTTCCCTTCACAGAGAAGAGCGAAAGGTAAGAGGATTTTCTCTTTTTTTATACTCTGAAGCAACAAACCAGTCTATGGATTATCTGATAAAAATCCATTACAGATTTTTCTCTGTCCTCAGATTACATGCATAAACTCTTCTGATCTCTCTGTGACTATCTCAGCATGTTTTTTTTTTTCCATTTATTCTTCCCGCAGCAAACCAAAGCCCAGCGTGGTGTACCAGCCCACATCAATGTACGGTGGTGGTGGTGATGATGATGATGATGTAAGTATGGGGCTGTCTCTTTTTCAGTTTGAAGCATTGTTGAGTTTGGATCACACTCTTGTTATGTATACGCCTTTTCACACATGCACAAAACGTGTGACCTGTATGTGTGAATGCAAACGGCCATATTTTACCCAGAGGTTTTCCTGACAGCCTACTAGTAAAAATTTGTTGAAGAAGAACCGATGTTTGAGCACAGCAGATAATCAGGAGAATTCACCATGATCAAGTGGAAAGGTGTGATACCGTTAATATCATGAGACCACTGTGCAGCTGGTTTGATCCATGTGCACATATGAGGCTGCTTCATAATCTGCTGTGACTCTTGTGGTATCCTTTTTAACTCATGTTCTGCCTCCTGACACTCCCCCAGCTTGGGTCAAGGGCCTGTGTCCACTTAGGCCATTTTTTTTGCACTGGCTATTTTCAATATAACCAATGCAGTTCTGCTTTTCTCGCTGAGTGTCCCGAGTTATTGTTGTTGCTGCGCTCAGAGCACTCCGATTAAAATAAAAAAAGGTCAACTTTTGGAACAGCACTTCTCCCTCATTGAACAATGAAAATCAAGAAGAGAAGTCTGGCAGTTCATGTTAAATTGGTGATATTTCCTTAAATGCAGTGCTAGTGAACACAGGCCCAGACAGTGTGAGAGTTGTAGGAAAAATGTTCCAGTTGTGATTTTTGATGTGTTTATTTCCAGGGGGAATTCAAACAGAAGTCATCCTTCGTGGTATAGTCAACAACGAACAGCCCCAACAGGAGAACAACTCTGTTTTAAATGTCTGTCAGCGTGGGATTTCCCTCAAGTGTTTAGTGTGCTTTTGGTTGATGATTAATTTGGAGTTTCTGTTTTTATAGACCAGTGTGATTGTTTAAGCTGACCTGAACTTTGTGCTTTAGTGTCTCGGAAACATTGACTTGAGCTTCAAGGTTATATGAAATAACTTACTGCAAACAGGGTAATGTGACGTCTTTTATATGTGCAAAATACTGTTGGAGGGCCTTTGGCTATTCACACATTCTTAGCCATGGACATTTGACTTCTAAGTTGTTGGTGTGTGTGTCTATTCTGTTTCTTCTGAAAAAAAAAAAAAACACAGCTATTTTTGTAAGTGTTATAATGATTCATCTTAACGCTAACATGTCAAAAAACAAGTAAAGAACCATGTACCTATATAACGGTAAGAACAGAAAGAGAAATTTTAGTTTCTCATGAAAGTCAAGCACATGCCTTTGAATAGACAGAATTTCCTCTAGGAACACAGTACCATGAAAAACAATGTCAATAGAGTTGTATCATATTTATTGACACATCACCTTCATTGTTTTATACGTGTTTATCTTCTCTGAAACACTGATGTGCCCAGAATAACACGGCCGAGTTGCTCTGAAAATGTTTAACTTTTTCTAACAAACAAAGCGTTTTTTTTATGTACAGTACTCTTGCTAACAAATCTGTCACTTTCTCTTTCTTGTAAATAAAATGCTTTTACGCCTGAAACATTGAAAAATCTCTTAAGTTTTCTATGAGCTTCCTGACATTTTCCTCTATTACTGTGTTTAATGGCAACACCATTGAAGGTGCACACTCACTTTAAGAGGTAGCTTTACAATTTCAGTAATGTTGTCCAAGAGGTTTGTAATCATTTGAATGACGTTGACTGAGTTGATTAATGGTGAGAAAGGTACACTTCCTCTTAAAGCAGACAGATGTCAGCTGTCATGTGTCCTGTTATGAATTAGAAACTTGTGATTGTGACATTTTGTTTCACAATTTTTGAAAGGTGCATCATCATGTTTATCGTGTGTAGCTTAATCATTGAAAACACTGACTGTTCTGATATATTTGTCCGAATATCGTCTACCTCTAGACACTCAAATCACTTGATGGTTTCGAATATCCTTTACATCCACTGGCTCTCAGGTTGACTTTTACTGGTTTGATGAAGTTGGACACCAATTAATCAATATTTATATTGGGCAAAAGGCACATTGTTCTACATTGTTTGACCTTTCTTTTTTTTAGAAAATGTAAAGCTGATGAATCAGCTGATGGTTGTAACTTTGATTTATATTTGTTTAATAAAATGTTTTGAATCTACAGTCATGTCTCAGCAAGATCATATTTCCCTCTGCATAAACATGTTGAAGCTTTGTTATGAATCCAAACAAACACTAATCTTTTCATATCATATAGGTGTTAATGTGCACAGTTGCATTGATTATGCAATACTTGCATATTGACTCCTCTGATCTTAATGAAGTATGATGTATCCACACCAGCAGGAGTCCAGCTGTTAAAAAAAATGCAAATACACCCTCCATATTTAAGGAATAAAATTCGCAGTGGTCCATGATGCTACCATAGAGAAGTCTTAATAGTAGCCTAAATAATTGCACTTATTTGTAAAAAGTAAATAAGCACTAAGAAGGCCTATACAGATATGCTACATCTGTACAGCATTGTAGTATGAAGAAAACTCGTTTTGCTTTAACATTCCAAGATTAGACTACCAGAACACAAAGAATAATAGAATAATTGTTGTTTAATGTGTTTTAATTTCTTGTCAAAATCTTACTTTTTTTTCTATGGAGATACATTTCTCTTATTATAAACAGAACCTCATAGCTTAGGCTGCTTATTTGTGCCTGTTTTAATATGTTACTTTAATGAAGAAAAGCAAAGGAAAGCCACGGGCTGTGGTTGCTATGTTGTTAAAAGCAAAGTTTTATGTTTCTTTGATCTTAAAAAAAAAAAAAAAACAAGAGGCAAAAGTTACAGAAACCTGTTTTGCAAAGTCGCTCCTACGTCGCCATGGCAACTGATGATGGCTTCGCTGCTGTCCTCGTCGGGCAGCACTGCGCATGCGAGGAATGTCGACACCCATTTACGTAGACAGGAAGTGTGACCAACTTTTTCCACCAACCAGCTCTATCTACCTCGACACTTTTTTGCCCCCCCCCCACACACACACACACACACACACTCTGCTTCCCTTATGTGATTAATATCCGCGCAACTCGCCCGATCGAGAAGACTGTGATACTGTCGGTTCGTCTTTATTTCCAGTGCACTGTCCCTTTAAAAGTAAATGGGGCCGCGCTCTGTGTGAGCCGCGACCGTAGACAGGCTGAGCCCCCCCCCGCGCGCGCTCACTCGGGATCCATTCATAAATAAGACATCGTTGGAGGAGGATGCTCATGTAATCGCTGTCTGATAGCTGTTTTACAAGCTTTTCGGACCAGACAATGTCCACTTCGGTCAGTGGATGCGAGTCGGGGGCACGGCCGAGAGAGCAGGACTGACTTCTCCCATGGCTGACCCCCCTGCTGATGGTTTTGACTTCATGTGCGAGCCGTCAGGAGGCAGCTTGATCCAGATCAGAATATTTGTCCAGCCCAGAAAAAAAATGCTCTTTTCCTCGCAGGGTTTGATGTTTTCTACGTGTTTCCGCTCAACACAAATAGTTCGAGATTAAAAAAAAAAAAAGTCAACCTCTTACAACCTTTTTTTTTGTAATTTTTTTTGTAATTTTTTTGTAATTTGTAATTCAATAAATGATAATCTCTCAGTGGAGCCGAGGAGCTGACATACCGATGGAGCAGTGAGTTATGGCAGCGAAAGAGGAACTGTACGCCAAAGTGACCCCGCGGAGGCAGCGCCAGACCCGGCCGAGCACAGTCAAACATGGGTCCGCTCTGGACGTGCTGCTGTCCATGGGCTTCCCCAAGACCAGGGCGTGAGTACACAGCTGCACTGTCCCAGGACACACAGTCTCACACACACACACATACACACATGCACACACACACATCAACACACACAACGTTAATCAGGTTAAATGAGGCAGCAGAAGTTTCATGCGTCTTTCTCTGTTTGTCTGCAGTGTTTAAGTTTCAGCATCAGATTTTTTTTAATCATCTAAAGTAGACTGTATGACTACTCTGCTGCAAAATAATGTTGTGTTATTAATAGGATTACTGTAAACCTTATAACTGCATTTTTTTTCTCTTAAATCCACAGACATATTGAATGTGACATCCTAGGATAATGCTACAGAATATGAGGTCTAATGCTTAGTTTGATATTACAGACATTAAACAAAATTCCCATTAGTTTGTATCCTGTAGAGACACAATGAGGTATTCTGACCCTTGTACAATTTGACTATGCAAAAACACTTTCTGCATTTAGGAACGAAGTATGCAGATATCAGTAAAATGTACTATAATTGTACATAAAGGCAGGAAGTTCTATATTTTCCCTGCACTCATGTTCACTTCATTTGTCTGTCTACTCGCCGTTATATTGAATAGTTTCTGCTTATAATATGTCTACACTCCTGCACTTTAACTTATGTCAATACTGTCCATTTACAACTCTGTTTTTGCACATTTACATTTAATCTTCCATATTTAATCTTCCTATTTAAGACTAGTAATGCTTAGTTAAATCCTGGTTGTATATATTCACATTCTTAGTTTTGATATTTTTAGTGCTTATTTACTTTGTATTTAATATTATATTATGTTTAGATTTGTTAACATTGTGTTTTTTACTCATATTGTGTGTTGGATAACCTGCTACCTTCATTAACTACAATTATTAACATTAAAGTACTATTGAAAGCTGAAGTTAGAGAGCTGGTAGCTTTTTTAAATTGATTAAATAATTTCTTATAAAAAAAATATATCATATTCATTGATCATCCAGTTAAATACACTCCATAGCCATGCATTATATCTTATATGTGTAGTTAACACATTAAAAATAACCTTGCAAAGTTTCCAACTTCCCGTAAATTTAGTGCACAAGTCGGGTAAAAAGATACTCACAATGACTTAAATATTTGGTAAATATTTGCTCACGTATTACAGTACTTTAGTTCAGCAGCATTGCTTGTAAAGATATGGTGTTTGCAGGTCTGTGTGTGTGCTTGTGTGTGTTGTGTGTGTGTGTGTGTCTGTATGTGTATAGCACACCTGTCCATAAAATGTTTTGATGTGTACCAACTGCCAACTACAAAAGATGAATCCAGAGATACTCTGTATTTTGAGTCATGCATTCCACTTTGCAGTCTCTTCTTGGTTTTTCAATGAAGACCTGATCCTGTGTGTATTTCTTCGTTCTCCTCCACACTTCTTCTCATTCATCCCTGAGAGGAGAGAAGTTGCCAGGAAACAAGCAGTGAATGGTGTCTATGGATTATGTAATAAGAAGGGAAAAGAAAAGACGTGTCATGGTCTGTTTTTACTGGTGTTTGTTGGCTAAACACAACATCTCCTTTTTAACAGATCGTAATTATTGAGCATAATTGGAGTATCAGGTTAACGCAGCTGGACTTGAGTTGGTTGCTTTGAGAATTTCACAAGGACGTTTCAGCATTTGAAGCAGTATTGGGGCTGGAAGATTACATTTTTATGACCACGGTTCAACAGAAAATTGAGATAATTAAAATTTTAAATCAAAACATGCGGCTTTGTCGTTGAATTGCAGGGTTACTTGATAAGCATGCAGAATGGATCGTTTATGGTGTAAAATATTCATCGTCAAACCTTTCAGTGGTTACATCTAAGCCTGTGAGCAGAGACAGTGTATTGCTTTTGAGTCAGAACTATTATTACCAATCCTTTTTTAATGCAAAGGGAATTCATTTACATTTCAATACTACCCTTGCTATGAAACATGGACACAGAATACGCATGGATTTAAATTAAATATCTGCTCAGCTCTTTTTACATTTCAGCCTCCTAGCCTCTCCGAGCTCTGCCTAATCATATCATCTATAATCATGATGTCCCTTCTCATTGTCTGTGTTTTGTCATTGACTCCCACATAATAAAAAGTTATCACACTTATAATTTGAACAGCCGCATTTCACACAAAGCCTTTCTGCGCGTGGAGCAAGCCGCAACATTGTGTGTGCACGGTCACAAAAGACATCTGAAATTGTTCACTTTGAGTCTTTGTCAGCGGCAGCAGTAATCTCTGAGCGCAGAGATTCACTCCCAGATCGTTACTTCTTTCAGTGTCTGAGTTGCGGGACATAAAACTGTGTCTCCATGTGAAAACAAAAGAGCAGTATTTCTCCAGTTATCTAAGTTTTGCTAAGTAGGCCAGAAGTATTTTCATCTCTCAATCAGACAGAAACAGTCTCGCAAAAATGAAGCCCTTTTATCCTCTGCACACTGACTAAGGTCATCCAGGCTTTCATCGTCTCAGACTGCAGCTCTCTCTTCTCCTGCTTAATGAACCTCTGCAGACAAAATGAGCGACTGGGTTTGGTTATATTTGCAGCCTCACATCCATTATTGATGCCAGACTAATACACTTTGATTTGATTGAGGTTATACATTTATAATGAGGCAGAATAATTTACCAGCATTACCTTTTGTGCTGTCTGGACCGGACGGTGGAGATACAACAGGAATGATATGAGAAATACATAGTTATGTAAAACAGAATATGTAAATGCAACATTGGTGAGACTGCATGACATT